CGGGCGGCGGAGACGCGCTGCCGCCAGCGGCCGTCCGAGGAGACAGGGAGCCAGGCGGGAAACGTCCCTGCGCAGCGCGCGCCGACTCGCCATGTCGCTCCTTTCGGGAGGTGTCTTTGTGCTCCCCTCACCGCAGGGCGCCGAGCTGACCACAGTGGCAGGAATCGCTTAATGGTCTCGGGGATCGAGTGCCCCCAAACCGCTCTGTTGAAAAATAATCCGAAGGGGATACTTGTTAGAGGAAAGGAACAGTTTAATAAATTACTCTTTATTTCAGAATTATTGCAGCCTGGCAGAAGCGAAATCTTTCTGTGATATGTCGCAGGGAGCACATCCTTATCAAATTAGAAGACTGAAAGTAATTGCAGGGACAGTCTTGAGCTCCGGGGTCCTGATAATCACGCGTTCTGTATGTTTAACTTGCATTGATCTCTGTCCGCTCCTTGATCTAGATAGTTTTCCCTAGCAAAGGATATTAGTAGGGTTAATAACTGGAAACAAAGCTACTTCCAAGATATAAACTGCTAGATGTGTCATGTTCAGCTTTAATAAAAATCCTTTTTAAAAAATAAGGCATATAACTTTGTGTCTTGTTTCTCTTTTGGCAGTCACCCCTGGGAAACAGTAACAACAGCTGCCATGCAGAAATACCCAAATCCTATGAACCCCAGCGTGGTTGGAGTTGACGTTCTGGACAGACACGTAGACCCTAGTGGGAAGTTGCACAGCCACAGACTGCTCAGTACCGAATGGGGCATACCCTCTATTGTGAAATCGGTGCGTATTGTATTGCGGAGCTTGAAAAGAGCTTGAAAGCTTGTATGACTCCTGGGGGAGAAGAAGCTTGTGAACGGGCCTGTTGTAATAAAATGTATTATTTTATAACTGTTATTGTTTAAAACTATGATCACTTATTTATCTGAAAGCTCAGTGGGAAGACATGTAGTGACTCCAAGATAGCTACAGATTGACCACGTTTTAGATTGCTTCCTTTTTAAAAATCTACCTCAACTGAATGGTTTTGTTTTAAGCTAAACCCTAATTCTGTTATCTCAGTGTGTATTCAATACCGTAATCACTACTTGTGCGTTTAAAGGCAATAACAAATTGCAGTTGTTGAGCAAAATTAAATGCAATGTGTGTATGGGTAATCTGTGATACCTGTCTTCCAGCTCATTGGCACATGTAGAACAAGGACGTATGTTCAGGAGCACTCTGTTGTTGACCCAGTGAAAAAAACAATGGAACTTAAATCCAGTAATGTAAGTGCTCTAGTTTTGTTTATACAATTCAAATAGCGTACTGATTAAGAGTGTTACAAGTAATGCGTTATAAATTTGAAAAGAAAAATCATCTGGAAAATGACTTGAAAATTGCAGTAGGAAAATACAGGTTAAAGACGTAAGTAATGTGTTTATACTTAAACATACTATCCACCATTTCTGTTTTCCAGAAAGGAACTACTAGGATTTTTGGAATTTGGTGTCAGCACTGTGAAACATATGAACATACTGATGAGGAGAATACCAGTAGTCTCATTTCTTTAGAAAAACTAAAAGCCCTTTGGTGTAAAGTATAGCAGTTCCCTCCTCGTGTAATGTTTTGCTTTATGTACTACTCAGTTTGTCTAATGTCATTGTTAAATCTTGATATAAACTTGATAGCGTATGTTGGTAAATGAGCAATACACAAAATCCAAGGGAAAAGAAATAGATCGGCAAATGCTGAATTCAAAAATTTTTGTATCCTGTATGTCCTAATCCCAGTGCTAGTAGGAAAAATATTATGTTTAAACCAATCATGAGGGTTAGTTTTGTATTTATAGTCTTGTTTACTACATTCCTTTAATATTAATATTTATTAAGAGGCTTTTATTAAGGGGTTATCTTGCTTTATGTTCCGCAGATTTCATTTACAAACCTAGTGTCAGTAGATGAGAGGCTTGTCTATAAACCACACCCTCACGAACCACATAAGTAAGTATGTCTTTGTTCTTTCTGAGGCTACCCTGAAGTAGTACAGGTTTTTGGCTTTGTAAATTACAGTGGTGTCTCTTGAACAGAAGACGATGCTGTGGAGGGAACAGCACGTGTGTTGTAGTATTTTTTCTAAGAATTAAATAGACTCATTATTTTTCTTAGTGATATTGCTTCTGCAAAGTACCACTGGGAGATGGACTGTCATACCATGGTGGAGCGTAGTTCAGATCAGGTTTTCAAGGAATTTTCTTATGTGCTATCTTTAACTAAGATTATAACAGTCTTCAGCTATCAGCTTCTTCTTTGTGATCCTTTCATCAGCGTGAGCACGGAACCTGCACATTTGCCTGCCTCTAGATTGTATTTTTGGAGGATTTAAAAAACGGCAGCTTTAGAGCCTGCTGAGTCTGTAATCTTGCAATGAGTGATGTTTCTCAATTATCTCTGTAAAGGTTGTTACTTAAAAGGTTTTGCCTTCCATGACAGTGGGAAATATTTAATACCTACTATTAAAGGGGAAGTCTGAGTATATCTTCAGTCCAAACCTGTTGCATCCACTCCACTTCCCATTGCTAAAGATGGAAATAGTTGAGTGCCACAGGGGGCTCCTTGCACTTAGTGGGGACTTCTGGGTTTTATTTTACGAACACGGGAGTAGAAGAACAAAACAAGTGCTGTTGAGAGAATGTATTTGCTGGGAGGAGGGGGGGGGGAGAGGAGTTGTCTTTAGGCAATGCATTCTGTTTTAAAGTACTCGGAACAACTCACTGTGCTGTTCTCTTGGTTTCAGAACCGTTTTGACACAAGAAGCAATAATATCTGTGAAAGGTGTCAGCCTTAGTAGTTACCTAGAAGGGTTAATGGCAAACACAATCTCTTCCAATGCTAATAAAGTAAGTATGACCCTTGTGTAAAGCGTGTGACCCCCGGCTAAACGATACAGGGAGTAAACATCTCTATTTTACTTCTTGGTTTTGTCAGCACCCTTAGAAAGGGCCCACATAGTTCATAGTTCTATCATACTAATAGATACTTACAGGCTCAGCTCGCCAAGCTTGATTTTTTTCTTTATGCTATGAACATAGGTCATAAGTTATTACTGGCAGACTCTCTGAATCTTCACTGGAAAAAGGTCTCCGCTCATTTAGAAGTCTAGTGCTGTCACTGTTTGGCTGCCCTCTTGATGCCAGCTATTAATTTTGCTATCTAAGAAAAGTATACATATCCAGTCAAATCTGAAGTAGTTATGTGCGTGTAATGAAGTGATGTTTTAATTGAGAGTTCATCCTTTGGGAATCCCTCCTTTGGGAATCCAGCAAAGTCTTGAGTTCAGCCTCAAGAATGATTAAAAACATGCAGTAAAAAGCCATAACTGTACCTTTGCTTCTTTTTTCAACTATTGTTTTTCAAGTAATTTTTCAAGATGGGGCTTAGCCTATTTACTTGTCAGGATTTATAGACTAATAAACTTTTCTCTAACTATAGGGCCGTGAAGCGTTGGAATGGGTAATTAATAAACTGAACGCTGAAATTGAGGAGTTCACCGCTTCAGCAAGAGGAACCATGAGGAATTCCATGGCAGCAGCGGCATTTGTAGAGAAATGATAGTAAATATACCTATATTACTAACAAGGTTTAACAGTCTAAAGCTTCTCTCCAAACCTCAGTATACCTATTTGTTCTTTAAAGGCATATCTGTGAATTAGGTATGTTTCAAATTACATTTGGAGAAGAGCTCATCTCTTACTAATGAGGCTGATGTGCAAAGCTTAATTAATATATTGGTTCTGCTGGACCGAACTTTGGTTACAGATGAAGAAATAATTTTCAAGTGTAGTTCCTGTATTTACATGAACGCTAACTTATGTTTTCAAATATGGAAGTCTCTTAGAGCTGAGGCTGCATATGTTGGAGGAGACTGGCATGTTAGGTTGACTTCAGTGGAATTTTTATTTTTGTGTGATTCAAGGACTACCTCTTTTGGGACCAAGCCCCAAACTAAGCAGAATGGTTTGTTCTAGCATTGTTCTGTTTGTTAATTTTTGATAAGTTGTGTGACACAACTTGGTTTAGCAGAAAGTTTATTACTTGAAGCTTGAAATACAAAAGAATGTACAAAATATTTTTTTGATAAACTTTTTAACTCTTGTTTGACTGGTTGATCTAACATGGTACTCAAACTGTTTTTTTTTTTTTTCAGTCAGTATAGGTAAAACATGCAAAATGTCTCTAACCTTCTAAGGCCTAAATTCTGTTCCTAAATATGACATTGATGAGCTGTGCATGCAGTAACTGAAGGTAGAATTTTATCTGAAACTTATAGGATATGTATCTCCATTTCTAACATCCCATTAAATAAAGGGATGCGCTAAGCATAGAACATTGATATCTTGCAAGCTGGTAGGGCTTCTAAGAAAAGTAGGTGAAATATAGAAGAAACACTTAAAGGACAAAAACATCTCAGTGGCTAAAGAGATACTTAAATGTAAGAGGAAGCAGTTTTTAAAATGTTAACGATACATCTATTAAATTGATCATGCTCTGAAAATAACCAGTTACATCAACTGAAAATTGTGTTGTCCTTTAATTTAAACGTAGTACCTTGAATAGAACATCCTGTTCTAATTCAAGTTTCAGAAATTCCTTTATCTTTTAAATTAATTTGCTCACAAAACAAGTCTCTTGAAATGAAAGCCTTGAGAATAAAAAGCTTCATATGTTTTGAATTTGTTTCTTGGTACTAGCTATAGCTTATTGGTACGGTCTCCAGTAATTAGCTGTGGGAACTTAAAGGTTAGACTTTGCCATCCTTATTTCATATTCTGTCACTCCATTGGTAGTCGTGTTGACTTCAGTAGAGGCTTTCTGTCGCATAAGACTCCTTCATTGTGAAAGTAAAATGGAAAAACACAGCCCTGAATTAACCAATGATCTTGTGTTTTGGTGCCAGAGGCTCTTCCTGGAATTTTGATTCTAAGCTTACAAGTAATCTTAAGTCTAATTCTTAGCCTTTAAGAATTGTAATGTCGCCTGTTATACCATATTTTACGTTGCATGCTATTTCTGTTATATCAGAGTTGCCTGTAGACTAGTGTCTGCTAAATAGAGCACCAGAGCTTGTTTTAAGTGGTAAATATAAGGGAACACAATCTTCCACAAAACTTTTTGTGGAGGGAAAAAAAAAACAGGTATATATTTGTATACCTTTTAAAAATTTAACTATTTTAAATATTTTTCTAAAAAGAAAGTTTGAGACTTTACCTTTGTAAATTGAAATCATTGAGGTTTAACATACTTTTACATATTATTACAACTGCAGTAGCATTTCAACTTACAAAATGTATGTGAAACTTCCGTGAAACTGTACCATCACTTCTGTTAAAAAGAGACGCGATGCTTGAAACCATTTTTTAACGTTTGTTTAGCCTTAAACATCATGTAGTTCTGGACATTTTCTAGCCAACTTGATCTTTTTCCTAGTTTTTCTGCACTAAGGACTGCATAGTATGAACTCACTGTTTGACCTTGCACTGAAAAAAAAATTACATTATTTAATTTTTGCAAGCATTCAACAGCTTCTTGAAAGACAATGATTTTCTTTGTTCTATTTTATTTTTATGGCTGCATTCTCATTCTGTCAGGGAGTATGGCTTTCTGTATGTGGTGCTTTTTAAATAAAATTTTATCTGAGCTCCGGCTAGTTCCTAAAACTTCCTGATGAATTTGTGGGGGTTTTTAACTGCTGGATGAGTAACACAGAATGAGGAGGGTGAAGGTGAAGCAATGCTGTGGCTTTTGATATTTTTTATTTTTTATTCAAATCCTATCCTAAAATGCATATTTTCAGTGGTAATAAACCCCTTTGCAGCTGTTGTGGTCTCTTTTGCTTAATAACTCTATCTTTTCTATAAGTCTGACAAATTAACTAGCAACTACGTTTCCCAGCCTGCTACATCCTGTGGAAAAATTTTCACTCTTCTTGGCCTGAGATTCATAAGCTATAATTATCTGTTAAGGAATGTCCTTCTACGTTAAATCTACACGCACACTGTTCTTAAGAGCAGAAGAGAGCAAAACGGTTGGGTCTGGACGGTCATGTAAGAGCTTGCCCATTTACACGCCATTCTCAGGATAGGAGACTGCCTAGAGTTTTGCATGAGGAGTGGTGCACTGGGCAGCAGTGAGGAGGTGTTTGCTATCCAGTAACAGGAGAAGGAATCTGATCAATATGCATGCGTACTCAGATTGTTTCTTGGCCACTTGAGCGCATCAGAGACGTCCACAGTGGATCTCCTCAGTAATGCGTACTGCACTGAGTGTGATCTGAGCTAGTGCAAGGAAGCTGTGGCTTCAGGTGGTTGGAAGAAGTGGAGGTGGTGGGAAAGAGAGGGAAGAAAACTGACCAACAGCTGGAGGGACAAAACTAAGAAGCTAATAACAAAGCGGGGGGAGGGGGTTCTGCCTGGAGGAAGGGCATACTGTGAGCCTTCTAGGGACCTTCTAAAATGAGTTGCATCCAGAAAAGTTACTAATTTTTTAAAAAAAGTCTAAATTACAGTAGCTGGAAGTTTGAGGTCTTGGCAAGCTTAATGTTCCCTTCTGTTGAAACTGAACATGTGTGTTATCAGTTGTTCTTCTCAAGTAGTCCTATGAACATAGCCACATGCCTATGTAAAATTCTGAATGAAACTACTTACCTGATTTATGTCAAAACTTGAAACCAGGACCTGGAAAATTACTTTTCTTCAGGTTTTATATGAGAATCAGCCATAGCAGTGGTGGGATTTTGGTGTTAACTTGTTTTTAGTAAAGTTTTTCAGCTGTAAATTACACTTACAACTTGCCCTTCACTTCTTGATTTAAACAGGCTTGGTGTGGCCAAAGCAACAGTAGATGAGCTTGTTTCACTTTACCTGCAAGGCGTTCCAAGAAGAACGGATCCATAATGATTTAACCTTTTCTTGATGGTGTGTAGCTGTTTAGCTTCCGTGTACCCATCTGCGCTATAAACTTTTAGTTTGTTGAGAGCGAGGTTTAGGCAGTGTAAATCTTGCTAATAGCCTGCTATTCTAGCGTTCTAAAAGGCACTACTGTTCACAGTCTGAAATGATAAAATCTGCTACCGTGGAAGAAAGCAAATTCCTAAATTTACTGTGACATTGAAATGATTTGTATCTGTATGAACACTAAAATAATACACATTTGTTCAGTCAGCAATAAAAATTAAGTACTTCTAAATAAATAAATTAAGGTTTCATTTACCTGAGAAGTATTGCCTCTTGCTGACAATGGACATCAGCACCAATTCAGTTGTATAGCTGTTAACTGTAAATGTAAACCAGTTGTTAGTCATTATTTTGGAAAAATACACTTAGAAGCTTTAATCGAGATTTTCTGCAGCATTGCTGACTTAGACCTGTTCTGGTCTGTGACTGCAGTTAAACAGTATGGTCTAGCCTATTTCCGGCACACCTTAAATACAGTAACCCTAAGCACCCAATGTCTAGTAACTGCAACCTTTCAAACCCGCCCCCCCCAGCATTAACAGATACTCTATTTGAAGGAAAGATCAGCATCCTGCAGAAGCTTAAGTTTACAGAAGAACTGAAGAGTACCTGTAAAGCTTGTGTGAAAGCACTGAGTCATGCTGGAATCGTTCAGTTCCTCAAGCTGAAGGCTGCTCTTTCACTTGCCCAGGGCGTCTTTCTCAATGTCATATCTTTCATTTATATAGTGCCATAAAATTGAATGCTTCCAAAGGTGAGGTTACATGTTTATGACTGAGCTGAACTACTTGTTTTCCATCACTGAAAGGAAACAGTCCCATGTCTGCCTACCTTCTTGTTCTTGCCTGTGCCATCCTGCTTCTTCCCTTGCCACTGGATATAGTGCTCTTCAGAGCCTTTGCTGAGCCGGTTCAACTTGCTGAGCCAGAAAACTATGAATATGAGAAGTGATATAATATATATGCAGCCAGCGGCAAGGTGGGACATGCCAGAAGGGAAGGAGGAATGGAGGCTCTCCTTATCTACAGCAAGCCATTAAGTTGACTGAAATTATATCATCTCTGCAATCTGTATTGTGATAATTTCATACTGCATCTACTAGAAAGTGTATTTGATACTGTAAAAAGAAACGGTTAGTGATTCATCAGACTTCTGTGAATTTGTCAGGTTTTAGCTGGATTTGTTTTAAAATTAGAGCTTTGTTTTTCAGCTTAGCAACAGGAGGCGATTTGTAAGGCATCAGATGATGGTCTGTAAAATTACAGCTGGCCCCCTGCTAAAAAATAGTATCAGCAATGTAATCATTATCTGCTGGAGGATATCAAGTCAACAATACATGGATAAATATTTTCCTGCTAACCATGGGCCCAATCTCTTTTCCATCAAATTCCAAAAATTTCCATCAATCCCCCTCCCCCCCTCCAAAATTGCCCCTGCAGTTTTGTATTTCGCTATTCCCAGAACCTGTTGGACTTTGTAGACAGCCTGATAAGAAATGTGTTTTATAATATGGCCCAAATGTTGCAAGTTGCATAATTTGGTGGGTTCTTGTCAATGGCTTTTTGCGGAATATCTAGATGTTATCTATCTGTGAGAAAACTGCTTTGGTTTATCTAGATTTGCTACTTTTTAAACCCATTAACATATAATAGCCATAGTAAATCTAGTAGGTAGGTTGTGAAACTAGGAGTTAGGAAGTGTGATTTAGTACTGATACTTAGGATTTATCTACATCACGTAGTCTGGTTTCATGTTCTGAATGATCTAGCTGAAGTACTAGAAGCATTTTACTGTCTTAGCTTGACACTCTGTACAGGCTTATTTCCTCTGTCTAGAATTGCCAATTTTGAGTAATATTCAGCAAGTGACAATTTCTCTGCTTTTCCTGTGGAAGGATAGAAAGGACAAACGGAAGCAGGGTGGTACTGCATAGATTATATTATTTCCCTTAGCTGCAAAGTGGGATACAATAATATGTGCGACTTTCACAAGCCCTTATTTATCTAAGATCCAAAGTCTCTTTTGCCTTTCAAAGAAACCTAGGCACCTATGAGACTTAGGAACTTCTGGAAAAGGGCCCTAGCCTTTGATGTCACCTAGGCATTTTTGAAATTTGTATCCAATATTATTATTATTATCTGTAAACAGAATGTTTCACAGTGTCGTGCTGTTTTATTATAACAACACTTTGAAAGTAATAAAGCTAACATAAAAGAAAAAGTTACTAAATACATTAAAATAGTTACTGATGCACAAGATTCTTAAAACTTGAGCGTACCTGAATTCTGATCTGCAGATCCTGCGTTCCCCCCCCCAGAGAAAATCTGTGGCAGGTTTTGTAGAATGGGCAGCTGAGAACTTGAATGACACTGTCAGAATTAATTTTTACTTTGAATCCAGGTGTCTAAAAGTTAAAAATGAATGTCTTCATCTGCTAAATCAACTAACCTTCAAAATGCAGTCCCGTAAGAGGAAACAGTACAGCACTGCAACATTATCTTAAAATTAGGGCTGATTTCAGGGCGTGTTTTCAGCTGGTGCTCTGTGGTGAGTGCTGTACTTAGACAAGAAGAGATTTAACAGGAGATGACCTGTATTGTCATCAGCATGACATGATTTCCAGTAGCTGTGCAACAGATTAGGGTCATCAGCAGAAAGAGCGGCAGAGCTTTAACAGCACAGCCCAATATGGCTTACACAAGCAGAGAAAGGAGATAAGTCCACAGCTATCAAAGGTAGGAAGTATTATTACTGACGTGTGTATTTTATATGACAATAACTATACCTTCATGTTTCTTAACTGGGTTATTTCATAGGAAAATGTGCAACGCCTTTGCCATTTGAAATTAAGGTAGATGGAACACAGTGAAGGGATTATGGAAATTAAAGTCTGTTGGAAATCATGTTGATAGTGGCTTTTTGTTATATATTGTAATTTGGCTTATGTATAGTTACTTGGTTTCCTCTGTACTAGGCATCTGAGAAACTTTTTAGATTAAAGATAGTCACAAAATGATGGAATGTTGCTAACAAAGGATTTTTTGAGGAGGTTAATTATTTTTAGTTTTGTTACGAATATAGGACAGCAGGCAAGCTTGTAATCTCATCACAAACATTATACATGTTGAAAAAGATTCATGTTTTCCCTTTTTGATCTATAAACTTTATGCTTGTGATAAAATTACAACCACGTTGCATGGGCTCTAAAATTACAAATGTATTATGGATAAATATTGTGTATTCAGTAGCTATTTCATTTCTAGCTCTCACCATTAAGTGAGACTTTTAAATAAGTGAGGCTCTTAAATAAGCAGCTTTTCTTAGTCTAATAATTTTTGTGTTGTGCTAAATCCCCACAATTTTCGTATTTACATACTAAGGCATTATTCTTACCAACTTCAGCTAATACTCAGCAGACACCTGCTTTAGTTGAGGTCACCTCAGTGGGAGTTCCGCCCATGGCGATTATGTTAAATCTATTATACATGCATATCAGTTGTGTAACCACACAGACAAAGCCTGGGTGCAGTCACCTGAGAAACTGCAGCCTTCAGTTAAGTGTCCGTCTTTCGCTTTCTTGGGCAATACAATACTTTTGTAATGACTCTGAAAAATCATACGTGTAATCCTATGCGTAGAAAGACAACAGCAGGATTCAACTACTCTCTGCTTTGCGGTACGGTCTTGAGAGAAGGCAGCTGTAGAATGATCTCTCTCTTGATCTATTCATGCTATAATTAGAAGCACCTTTATGAACTGAAATATAAACTGCTCTTTTTCCTTTTTAATTACATACCTGCTTTCTATCAGAATATATCTCTCTAGTATATTTTTATTAAATTATTCAAAATAACCATAAAA